GGTGCTCTCTGAGCTGGGTGGTTTCTTTGCAGATGTTTCATGACCCAACTAGGGAACATCATCAGTGCTAGAAGGGTTTGGGGAGAGGAGGAGGGCGAGGGGGAAGAGAAGGAGGAGATGGTGAAGGAGGAGGAGGAGGTGGACTAGGACTGTGGGGTCCTTGGTTTTCTCTGAGCTTGGTGGTTTCCTTGCGGACGTTTCATGACCCAACTAGGTAACATCATCAGTGCTAGAAGGGAGTCAGGTTTGTGCAGAGGGAGAAAGAAGAGGAAAGAGAGAAGGAGGAGGAGAAAGGCTGTCAGTCCTTACTGCTCTCTGAGCTGGGTAGTTTTCTTGCAAACATTTCATGACCCAACTAGGGAACATCATCAGTGCTAGAAGGGAGTGGAGTTTGTAGAAAGGAAAAGGAGTGATGGAGAAAGACAAGAAAAAGAAGGAGAAGGAGGAGGAGGACAGTGGGGTCCTTGGTGCTCTCTGAGCTTGATTGTTTCCTTGCGGACGTTTCATGACCCAACTAGGTAACATCATCAGTGCTGGAAGGGAGGGGCGGTTTGTGGAGCGGAGGAAGAGGAGGGAGAAGGGAAGAGGAAGGAAGAGGAGGGCTTGTGAGGGTCCTGGGTGTTGTTCTCTGAGCTGGGTGGTTTTTCCTTGCAGGCGTTTCATGACCCATCCGGGTAACATCATCAGTGCTAGAAGGGAGAGGGGTTTATGGAGGAGGACTGTGGGGTCCATAGTGGTCTCTGAGCTTGGTGTGGTGGCAGGACCCAACTAGGGGACACCACCAGTGCTTAGAAGCCTTCTAGCGCAAGCCTTCATGCTTGAGAAACGCCGCCTTGGCGGGTGGGTGCGTAGGCTCCCGGGCCGCGTGCCTACTGCAGCCGTTCCTCGAAGGAACCTGAACCCAGGGCCTCGTGTCTCCCTCCTGCAGGTGACCTGCGTGGAGAAAGCCGGGAGCGAGGAGAAGATGCTGATCAAGATCTTCCGGTGCCTGGGAAGCTGGTTCAACCTGGGTGTTTTGGACAGCACCTTCATGGCCAACAGCAAGTTGCTATCCCTGCTTTTTGAGGTTCTGGTGCGTGTCCCCGGGGTTCCCCCACCCCCACCCCTTCACAAGCCTTGGAGGGGCAGCTGGGCACTCAAGTCCTGAGAAGGAAGACGCCGTGCAGGTGTCGGAACCGTTGGGGGTGGGAGCAAAGCCCCGGTAGGAGCAGAACATCTCCCCCTTTATGTCAGCATACGGTTAGGAAGAAGATCCAAGACGCCATATTACATAACACAACCCTGATAAACGGGGGCCTAAGGACAGGTAATTCTCCGCTTAACGGCTGCTCGGAATTGTGACAGACCTCCCTTCGGGCTAGTCACCCCCCTGGATTCAAAGTTCGGACGGTTCCCCTTCCCTCTTGATCACGTGACCGAACTTCAGACCCCCGGGCCACGTTTACGGGCCATTCGAAAGGGCGCCAGGGGTTCTAAGGCCCCGTTTTCACGAGACAAGATTTACCGGCAAAGCCTCGCACTGCATTGCTTAACAGCTGTCGTTAAATTGGTCATAAAGTGAGGTCGGTCACCCGATCCTTTTTACAGAAGGGCGGTGATGAGGCATGCTCCATTATGTCATAAGCTGAGGGCCATTTACAAGCACATTCATTTTTCAAACTTTGTATGTGTTCTGGCCAAGGCTTCCAACCCTGTAATTACGCCCATGCTTATTTTAAAAACAAGTCTTGTTTTATTGCAAACGCTGGGAATTATTTTCATTCCCAGCCAGTAATGAGTCTCAAACAGTTCCTCGAGATAAGCACCCACCTTTCTCTCCTTTGAATTGCTGCTAACAACTAAAGTGCCAAATGAACTGTAAAAAACCAACTGAAGTACAAAGTCCACACAGAGCTTCAAGGTTTAATCCGAACAGAATGAACGACTTTGCTTCCTGCAAAGGTTTCTTCACCTTTGCCTGTCCTTTATCCCTTAGGGGAGGGGCAATCACCTCCCAGCCTTACTCCCGAGTCGCCCCTGTTGTCTCAGCTGCTCTCACCTTCTGGCAGCTCTGTGCACACGCACACTGGGACCAGGCTCCCCTTGTTCCTCTGCCTCACTGCTATCAGGTTTTGGAGGCTCCGGAGGCAGCACCCCAGTCCCAGATGGTCCTGGCCCCCTCTCTGCATCGGATGCAGGACCCTCGTCTGAGTCCTCTCCAGACTCCCAGACTCGTCCCCGTTCTTCCTCACTGTACGATTCCGCTGCCGGCTGCACCGGCTGCCGGCGAACCACCACAGTGTGATCCAATTCCGTTTTTCTTCTTCTTGCAATTGTAGGTCACCCTCAACTTATGACCACAATTAAGCCCAAAAATGTATGTCAGTGAGCGAGAAATGCGTACAGTGAGTTTTGCCCCGTTTTGTTTTTTTTTTTGACGACTTTTCCTTGCTGCGTTCGTCACGCGAATCGCTGCGGTTGTTAAATGAGTCAGATGGTTGTGAAGTCAGTCTGGTTTCCCCGTTGCTCGTCAGACAGCCGCAGAAGGGGGGATCGCATGGACCCCAGGACGCTGCCACCGTCGTAAATGCGAGTCAGTTGTCGAGCGTCCGAATGTAAATCACGCGGCCAGGGTTCGTGTGAGAAATGGCTCCTGGGTCAGGTTTTTCCAGTGACTTCGAACGGTCACTAAATGAACTGTTGTAAGTCGAGGACTACCTGTACAACGGCTAATGAAACTTTGGTGGAAATCTAGTCTGCTTGGTTATGACGGGTATAGGCAGTGCTCGACTTAACGACGGTTCGATATGATGACAGATCTACAACAACATCCCCCATTATGTCAAGAGACAAGGACTCCCATCTTTAACACAACCCCGATAAAAGCGGGGTAAAACTCCTCGACTTACGACTGACGTACCACGGGGCTAGTTAGGACCTGAATTCAAAATTCTGACGCTCCTTTCCCCCCCCCCCCCCACGTGGTTAGGTGACCACGCGATTAGATACAGGTGTGTGACCCCTCCCTCCCCATCCCATGTGGCAGGGAAGTGCGAATGACCACAGTGGATCAGGTAATACTCAGGCGTGGGGGGAAAAAGGGGGGCTGAACGTTAGCGGAGATCCATGCGGGAGGATTAAGCAAGATCTCTGGGTGGCCTCCTTTCCCAGCAACAGGACAAGACCTCGTCCAACCTGCACGAAGCCGCCTCGGACTGCATCTGCTCCGCCCTCTACGCCATCGAGAACGTGGAGACCAACCTGCCCCTCGCCCTGCAGCTCTTCCAGGGTGTCCTGACCCTGGAGACGGCCTACCACATGGCCGTGGCCCGCGAGGATTTGGACAAGTGAGTAATTGGAACTCCCTTCCCCTGGTCCCTGTTGCTGGGGAGGTGTTTGTGAGCCAGGAGCTCAGCCAGGGGGCAGTCAGACGTGTGGCTGTGTTGAACTCTTCCAATCTCAGTTGTAGAAAGAGAGGAAGACATTGGTTCTGGGTTCAAGGAGAGGTTCCTAAGGGGGGCAGCAGGTTAGAAACCAGGAGACGGTGAGCTCTAGTCCTGCCTTAGGTAGGAAAGTTGACTGGGTGACTTTGGGCCAATCACGAGGAGACGGGGAGTTCTAGTCC